CTGCATAGAAATAGCAGCATGAAAAAATTAAAACATCTCAACAGCCCAGCATTTGATACTTCTTAATTATTTATTTCAAAGGTTTATGTATCTAAGCTTGTCTTTTCCATTTGGTAATGCAGAAAGGCCAAGACTTTTAACTTCCTTCACCGCTGCAACATTATTTTCTAACCAGTCCTGTGTCCAGGTTTTTATTTTTTTATATATTTTACATGCTACTAGAGAAATTACAAGGCCCATGCTATATCTGCACTCTGCACAGGGTACCTGTGTATTCAGATATTTGCTTGGAAATATGGGCCGGTAACATTTTGAAAACTTAAATACTATTTCTGAATTGATTGTGGCCCTAAAGATTATGTCTTTGTCCAGAGATGCCAGACACAAAGTGAAAATAAGTGAATTCTAAATATAAACTATTTCAGTCCCTAATTCCCTCCAGTTTCAGAAAGGAATGGTGAATATTTTACAAACCTGATGGATGCCTGTGAAGCAAGTCCAGCGCTTTGGCTGCCTTTTCTAGGAGCACTTCTGCCAGCAGTGCAGGAAGCAGAGCCAGCCCTAAGAGCTGCAGGTTCTGCAGTGTACATCCAACCCACTGGTCCCCAAAAGCAGCAGCCAGTGCAGGTTGAAAGCAGCTTTACAATGCAAACACAGAGGCACATCTTTGTCAAAGGCTTTGATAATACACAACACGTCTTTCAGGGCAGGAAAACATCATCAGTGCTTAGAGATATGTTGCAGTTTGAAGAAGTATGTTTACAAGGATCTTTTTTAGAAATCTCCTGCACAAACCAAAAGCCTAATCACTTGACAACTTTGCTTTTTTCATTTTACAGCCAACTCTTTGGTGCAGACCTTGTCCCCACCCCAGAGATGGAGAAACTGATGTTTGTGCCAACACAGTCAGGGTTAGCATTGGCTGCTAAATGGAATTAATTGGCTCTGGGACAGGGACAAAAGCACGGGAGCTGGGCTAGCTCTGGCTGCTGGGTGCATGGGTGTTCCACAGCAGATTTCCTCAGGTTCTGACTGCAGCCCTGCAGCTCAGTGCTGGTTCCATGGCTTGTGCAAGCTGCTACAGCCCAGGAGGGCAGAGCCAGCGTGGAGCCACACAGGTCCCTCAGTTCAGACCTCGTAAACCCAAAAACTCCTTTGGCCTAACATGGCAAACTTCCCTCACAATTCAGTGAGGAGAACAAACCTACCTAGGAGAATACACACCGGATACTTCATGGCCAAGTAAGCAATACCTTGACTATAAAATTTATGATCTGTTAAACACAGCAGATTATTTCTTATTAATATCTTTATATTTCTCATATGAACCATGTTAAAATGAATGGAGTTTAGCCATTCCTCCCAAAGGATAATGTGATTAACTTACTTAAATATCTCAAATAAATGGATAGTGATGTGCTGTGGAAAAAAAGGACATGGAGTTAGGATCCTGAGTGAAATCACTGGGAAGATTATTGCTAATTATCACAGGAATGGAATAAGGCCCACTATCTCAGCTTAGGTCTGAAGATGAGCAATCTTTTGTGATAAATTAACAGATTACTTTCCTGAAGACAATATCAAACTCAATATCAAATTAAAGAAAAAGAAAAGCCACTGATGCACAGTCATGTTTATGCAAAGCAGGAATAGAGCACAGGCTTAATTATAACGATATCCTTGGGCACTGAGTTTGAAGCAGATGCAAAAAATTGAACACATGGATGTGCTTCACTAAATAGGAATAAAAGGGAAGAGAGTAGCTGAGGTACCAAGCCAAAATGAGAAAGCCTCAGTGGTTTCAGCTTTAAGTATAGAACAATATGAATGTTTATTGGACTCTGTGCTATTTTCATGTATGAATTGTTTAACAGGAGCAGAGTAAACCCATCCTTTGTCTTCCAATGTCACACACCATTAGTCAGAACAGGTGCTTTAAAATAGGGCATTAATGACTTTAGAGACACTCTCTAATTATACATAATAATAACAACAATAACAACCATCACTAGCCTGAAGTTTGTGTAACTTAAGCAGAAATATGTAAGGACGTGACTTTAGCTGTTCATCAGAGCAATACTTAATTGTAACACTTGTGGAAAGAGAGCAACTTCTTCACTTGCTGCTTCAGCTTTCAGTTCCACCATGTTATTTATATCAGGTTATCCATGTAAGAAGGATGAGTATAATGCTCTCCAGCCCTGCTGGAGGTTAGGACGCACTAGAACACACACTTGAGACCATTTTCAGGAAGATATTTTGTCAGTCTCCTAACAGAAATTGTTACTGGAGGACACCATTTCTTTTGCTGCTGAAAAAATGTAGCTTTTTAGCTACACAACACAAATCTCTGACAGTCTGGCACTTATTTTGCAAAAGCTTCAGACAAGAGGGTTTTAATCATGAACTTTAATGTGTTTAAGAACGGAGTCCTAAATAATTCTGCCATTTTACAGATGATAAACTGTGTAAGCTCAACCGATGTGTTATTCAAAACTGACCCTGCCAGAGAAAAAAATAAATAGATCATAAAAATCTCTAGCATCATTATTTGGAATATTGAAGGCATTTGTATAACAGGTTTGTTTATGCAGCAGTAATTTTGCTCTCTATTTTCCCTTTCTATTAACTAATAATAGCAAAATGTTCTCACAGAGAAAAAGATCCAGCTGCAAACAAATGTTATACCCCTGGAGGCTTCTGGTTTCCCCTATGGAAAGCAATGCACTGGATAATGTGATGTAGCTCTAATAAAAGATCCCCCATAATGGTGCTGTCTACGAGTTTATTTAGAAAGAAAAGACTCAAACATTCTGAAAAATGTGCATGTGGGTTTAAAAGGGCACCCTGAAAACTGATGATTTGCTGAACCTAAAAATCCATGAAGAATTATGCTACCAAATGACAGATTTGAGGTATAGAATATTACCCACAGTATTATTTTAAGAGTGGAGTCTAAATTCTGGTTTCTTTGCATTGCTAACTTAAGTCTTTGTAAGATTCTATTTACAACCTGACATCTGAAAACTGATATAGTGAAAATGAAATCCTTTCTTCAACTTTTATGGTAATTTCAACATTTTTCTTATGTGCTGTCCTTCCCCTAAAATAACTCACTCTCTGACAAAAGGCTATTTGAATAATCTTTCAATATACAAGTTTCTGCAGAATGGAAGCTAAAGAATAAAGGAGGGAGCTGAATACCCAAGTGCAGTGTGAGGCATTAGGATGCAGGGAGATGATGTGATTCCCTGCACAGGTTTCCACTGTTACAAAGGAATCCTCATCAGGAGAAATCGACCCTGAGCCTGGAATGCTGTACCTTGAGTATGAGGCAATTATCATCAAAGGTCTCTCAAGATATTTGGCCTTATTCTTTTTAGGACAAAAAAGAAACAAAAGCAGTTATTGCATCTTAATTAAGGGTAAACACTGGTAGGCATCTGTTATCTACAAGGAGAGATGTGTGTCAGAATATGACTAGATCTAATCTGAAATGAGTGCTGAGATTAGCCAAAATTCTCCAGACATTATCTCTGTGTAGGACTGTTTCTCTAATCTTGTTCTAAGGCTAAGATCAATGAAGCCTTAAAGAAGGATTTACTGATGCTGATAGGATTTTCTCTTTTGGATAGATTGTTAGGTGAAAAAAGCCATATTAATAGGAATACATTCAAAAGTTTCTGGACGGTGCTCTCACATTGCATGAAATATTTCTACTGTAAAACAATTCTTTATTAAAGTACAAAACACCCTTTCATACTGGCAGTGCTACTTCTGGTACCCACAAAATGCGAATTTTTCTGAGCATAAGATCCCAAGTCTAAATTGCAAAGGAAGGAGATTTGGGCAAAGGTTAAAGATAATGAATATACTGAAACCTGTCTCAGATAGATGGATTTCATCTTAAGATAATATCTCTTCATATGCTTTCAAACATAAGAAAAGTGTGCTGCTGATACTTTTATCTCTGGAAGGATTATTTTCTTTAGCAGCAAGAGGCTTCTAGACAATCACTGTCCACACACTACAACCCTCTGCTGAAACACCCTCAGCTCAGACATGTGGGAGAATAAACACTTTCTTCTCAATATTTTTTAATCCCAACTAATCCAGGAATAAACCAGAATCTACAGATAATCTATCAATCATTGTTGCCATAAAATAAAATCCCAAGATTCCCCCTGTTTCCTAGAATAGCAGTACTCTCTCATGACAACATCTGAATTACTGTGCACTCCTTTTATTCCCAATTTTAGTAATACCAAATAATTATTATACATTAATACTACACATAATTGCTGCTGTCTAAACAAACTATCCACCAGATTTTCAAATTAGATGCATTTCTTTCCCTAGGTAGCAACTAGAATGAGAGAGTTCTCTTTCTGGGAATTGTTGGGCAGTGTCCTAGTGCAGGGGAGTAGGAGAGTGGGTTCCAGGACAGACAGACAGACAGACAGACAGCAACAGCTGAAATGGAAAAAAGAAACAGAGCTGTGGATGGGAAAGAGAGATGGAGCAGGTGGGAGAGGAACAAAGACCTGGCAGAGGAGGATGAGGGTGAAGGTTGAAGAAAACTGGAAATAGGTTAGAGTACAGTGGAGTGTAGTTCATTAAAAAAAGAAAAAAAAAATGTTAGAAAAAACCATCTTGGGCACCTCCTGCAATAGCTAAAAAGCTTTTTTTTAGTGAGATTCTCTAGTTCAGCAGCTGGGGTGCAGTGGTACCACCAGGTAGAGGAGAAGGAAAATTCAGGAGTTCCCAAGATACTGTAATGCTCAGATAGAACACTTCTAGGCTGCACTGAGAGTGCAGAACTGCAGGGAAATAAAAACTCCATGGCTGCAAACTCAGGTAAGAGATGCTGTACACAGAAAGGTAATTCAGAGCTAATCAGTACAAATTGCCTGAAAGAAATTTGGTAGGCTGTACTAGGGATAAATCCATGAGTCAAAAAGCATTCCTGGGTTTTTTTATCCACATCCCAGGGCACTTACCTCTCACCAGCCATGGTGGGCATTTAAAAAATCCCAGAGAAGATGAGAGCCACATCCTCAGTTCAACTGAGCTGTTTCACATCTGAGACATCTCAGAGGGTGATTCAATTCAGGAAATATTACTAGAAAGAAATTTGAAAGGAAAATATATTTTAGTGTCCCACAGAGAACTGAGATTTCAAAATCCTGCCCTGAAACAGCAATTTTAGGGAACAAAGATCAGGAAACTACTAAAAATGGAAGGCAAAAAAAAAGGGGGGAAGCTCTTGAAAAGTGAAAACTGAAAAGTGTCCACTTGTAGTCTGCTTATCAAGTGTTGGTCTGGAATTTGAAAGAGCTGCTCTTATTTTCTCACAGCAATTCGAATCTGTAAAATGCTTTTCCAATCTAGAACAATTTCTTTCAAAGCTTTGCTTTTGAGACGGCAATATTCCTGTTTAAAATAAAAAAAAAAAAGGCTTAAAATTGAATATCTCTGCATATAGAATATAATAATAAAAAAAATGGTCACTCATAGAAAATGTACAGAAGTAAATGGTTACCACTCCCTACCTCCTAAAAAGTAGTATTTAATGATTTAAAAAGTGAGGATCTTAACTGTATGAAAAAGATTATAAAATTTCCTGTTTGGGAAGGGCTGGGTTCAGCAATTCATAGACTGACAGCGTGGGTGTACCAGCAGTCACATCAACATGTGCAAAACCTTTTAAACATTGCTTGTAAAATATTGAGCATATAAATATATTGGAAGAACACTTTCATATTTGTTTAGTAATTTAAAGTGAAGAAAAACCGTATCATGGGCAACATAACTGGGTAAGCATGCTGTTGATTTTCTTTCTTGTGTCTTTCATATATACTCATTTCTCTTCAAAGAAAACCCACTAATAATGTTGATGTCTTACCCTGTCCAACATATGAGAACTTGACTGAGGTTCAGTCCTACAACTGTAGGACTGAAATGGCTCAGGCAGAAATAAGTAATATTTTCATGGTCCTTTCCAGGTAAATGATATGTGTGTACATAGCAGAAATTATTTCCTGTCTCCCCCTGGTAGACGATGTATTTAAAGAGGAATCCTATAAATGTGTATTTGGTGTAGACTGCCTTTGAGGGAACACTTTCTAGCTAAAAACCTATTTATAAATACTTTAAAATCCATACAGTCAATGACCAAAGTGTAGTGGTTCTTCTTGGAGCGGCTCCAGCTCTTGTGCACACACATATTTAAGGTGTGTAAGCTGTATACTACTTAGATTAAACAGGCAGGCACACAAATAAAACCTGACTTTGGGAAAGAAAAGAAACGTGCCCTGTCTGAAATGCATCAGAGTCTTTGCCTAAAATTATTACTTTCCTTCCACTTTGATTTGAAAGCACTCCACATCTTGCAGGAAATACTCAGAACCCATCAGATCCACAGGATACAAAAAGACTTTAAGGAGTCCAATAGAGAGGTTGTTTAAAATACCTTTATTTAAGGACAGGAGCCTGAACATCTGCACAGCTCTATTTGCAGATAAAAACCCTGGGAAAGGGGGGGTTTGACAGTATTAAAAGGGGGGATTGGGAGCTGTTAAATACACACAGCCCCTCAGAATTCACCTAATGCCCATTTCCAGTTCACTTTGCTGTGACACACACAAAAACACGAGGGGAAAGTGGCCCTCCCATGATTACCTGTGCTTTTAGCAAGCAGTGGGGGGGTCTGGTCCCTCACATTTACACAATTGTACATGTATGACCCTAATTCTTCCTGGGTTTAAGGTGGGAAATATACCCCTCACTCTGGACTAGGATCTGACACTTCTTTCCTACCCAGAACAACTCACTCGGGTTGTCTCACTCACAAATCCCACAGAAAATGGAGTTTCTACTGTGAAATCCTTTTTAACCTCATCTATAGCAGCACACATGACACCTCTGAAATATTATTTTATGCTAATTGCATGATCCAAAGCTGCTCTTTGAAGTGTTTGTTTGCTTTGTACTGGCTGTGCTGAAGAGGAGGATGATTCAGATTTCACCAGTCATATTCAGTGTTTGTCCCATGCAGCTCCAGAGTGTGACCACCCCTGAATATAAGCAACAATTATTGTACACACTCCCCTTGCCTCCTGACCTGCTGCTCCTGCTGTTTAGGCTGACACTCAGAGACATTAGATCACAACCATCTGAGTTCAAATGATCCAAAAAAAGTATGTTCTTTACAGTTTTCTAAGGAAAAAATGAGGCTTTAATACTGTATTGAGACAAAGCTTGTAATAAGTTTATGAAAAAAGGAAAGGAAAGGAAAATAAGAAAAGAAAAGAGGAAAGGAAAGGAAAGGAAAGGAAAGGAAAGGAAAGGAAAGGAAAGGAAAGGAAAGGAAGGAAAGGAAAGGAAAGGAAGGAAAGGAAAGGAAAGGAAGGAAAGGAAAGGAAAGGAAAGGAAAGGAAAGGAAAGGAAAGGAAAGGAAAGGAAAGGAAAGGAAAGGAAAGGAAAGGAAAGGAAAGGAAAGGAAAGGAAAGGAAAGGAAAGGAAAGGAAAGGAAAGGAAAGGAAAGGAAAGGAAAGGAAAGGAAAGGAAAGGAAAGGAAAGGAAAGGAAAGGAAAGGAAAGGAAAGGAAAGGAAAGGAAAGGAAAGGAAAGGAAGGAAAGGAAAGGAAAGGAAAGGAAAGGAAAGGAAAGGAAAGGAAAGGAAAGGAAAGGAAAGGAAAGGAAGGAAAGGAAAGGAAAGGAAAGGAAAGGAAAGGAAAGGAAAGGAAAGGAAAGGAAAGGAAAGGAAAGGAAAGGAAAGGAAAGGAAAGGAAAGGAAAGGAAAGGAAAGGAAAGGAAAGGAAAGGAAAGGAAAGGAAAGGAAAGGAAAGGAAAGGAAAGGAAAGGAACCCCCTGGCTTTCATTAATGTTCCTCTAATAATATGAAAACCAAATAAAAAATCCCAAAGCCAAAATCTGCCACATCCGCCTGGCCCTAAACATCCCCAAGCCTTTGGAGCTGAGCCATGTATCTCAGGAGGATGAAGTAAAATGTCTATCCACACTCTTGACCTTAACATAAAGAAAAATTTCCTTCTTAGCTCCATTCCCAATTTAATCTCCCAGGACTTCTCTGCCTTCCAAGGCAGCAGGAACCTGACTTCAAAAGGTGCCTTGAAGCAGGAATTCTAAATTAAAGGAACACAAGTCCTATTTATGTATCCAGGACTAGAGAATAGCATCTAAGTGTGGCTTTAGTCTCTACTCAATCTCTAAATAGACCCATTTGATATTCTTCCAATTCTGATTCAATCAAAGGCTGAGGGATGTTTGGGAATTGCTGCTCTCAATGGTTGTCAAGAGGATTTTCAAGTAATCTTGATTCTATTAAATGACAATGCCTTGTTTACTTTAATGGGCCAAATGTTGGTCAGATGCACATAAAATACCTGAGTAAAGATTAGAAAATCAGGTCATCAGCTTTCAAGCCTTTTGGGGGTAGAGAAAGAGGGGTACTCCTCTGTGCCACTAAATCTGCATGGGAACAATTGCACTTGAGGCAGCTGTGTTCTAGGGGGGAGTTTTCAAGCTGCAAATAAGCTCAAATGTTTGCCTTTGTGCTGGAGTGAAGTGGTTGGTCCTGAAAGCAATTTGAACACATTTTATTCAGTTATCAGCTGCATAAACAGTTTTGAAAATCTCCACTCAAACCCACCTGTGATCATCTGGGCTGGATGAAACAGAACTGTACGTGGCTGTTTGGGAGAACAATGAGCAATGAGCACTTGCTGGAGTTCAGAATCTCACATTGTTCAGATGAATCAGGGGAAACATTGGGTGTACTGTGATTTCTGACAGATCAGCTGGAGTGAAAGCACATTCTTCTGCTCAGCCCTATTAGCAGAGTGCTGTTCTTTTTCCACACTGTACCAGACCTCCTGTTTGTTTTTTTATTTTTCTGTGCCTATTGTGCATTTTTAAGTTTTACAGTTCACATAAAGGGTCAGATCCTGAGAGATGATGAGCAATTGCTATGCATGCTGCCTTAAATAGGTGTTCCAGAAAACCTGCCTCTGTTTAAAATTCAGTTGTCTTTACATATTGTTTACATCAGCCTCATTTCTGGGTTTTTGAAACAAAGGGAAGGCAATTGCCTTGAATAACATATTATTTCCTACTATGTACATAAACTGGAAAGCATTCTGTGTCCTTTATACTGCAAAACAATTTTTCTGTGTTCAGTTAATATATTTCTATCTGCTAAATTTCAGATAACTAGCACAGGAGACAGAATTGAGGAGGCTGATTCTTTTTCAGATGGATGAAAACCTGTGAATTTCATTCTAAAAAATTACTAACTGAGGTAAAAGCCAGAGCCAAAAGCCAGGACCTACAGCTACTGCTGGGTTTGGACGAACTATGAGATTCTAGAGTTGCCTGCAAGGTGCTCATTAGGGGTTCCAAATGCACAAAATGCTAAACTCCAACCTCCTTGATGTTTCACATCCTTCAGTCAGCTTTGCTGTTTGGGTCTACATAAGCTGACTCTGGAGCTGGTGCTTTTATTGTGGTTGAGTAATCAGTGATAGAAACAGCCAAACAGATCAGCAAGAAAACTCCATGTAAAGAATGGATTCTACAAAGGGTGTGCACTAGCAGCTCTCGTTGGGAAGTCAGCTTTCCTGATGAAACAGCCTTATTTCTCAATAATTTCCCATTCTTATTTACTCTGGGGGAAGAACTGAGGGAGGACCTTCCCTCTCCTCCATGTTCTGCCCAGAAATTCTCTATTATTTGCAGGCAGGCTGTGTTTGGGTGTTTAGCACAGATCATCCCTCAGCTGTGTGTGCCCACCTGGACTCTCAGCATTATTTGTGTGGGATCTCTGTACTCTACAGCTGTCATTAAAGTATTTTGCATGATACCTGCTCTTAGAGATATCACATGCTCTTATCTTGAGTCATATTAAATATATCCTTAGAAGTTGTGGGTTTGCCAAGAGGCTTCCTGAAGTCTTAATCCCAGTTTGGGAAAGGAACTGACTCTTTTAGAGAAACCTCTTCAGTGGTGCATATGGAAAAGAATGATAAATAGTGCCACCAGCTATTTGTGAGACTTGCAATCGTGTTTTTTCAAGTGATAGAACAATATTCTCTAAGAACAT